GAAACGCAGCACCTCACACCTGTGTTTGGAGGGGAGGAACACCAAACTTTTTTTTTTTTTTTGGCTTTTTGGGTCACACCTGGCGATGCACAAGGGTTATTCCTGGCTCTGCACACACAGGGGTTACTCCTGGCTCTGCACTCAGGAGTTACTCCTGCCGGTGCTCAGGGGACCATATGGATGCTGGGACTCGAACCCGGGTTGGCCACGTGAAAGGCACACGCCCTACCCGCTGTGCTATGTCTCCAGCCCTGGAACTCCAAACTTTATATAGAAAACAATGTATTTCACAATGCCTTTTCAGCCATTCTGATTGTTGGGGGGTAAATTCTAAACAATCGTGGTGCATCTTTTGTTGAAATAATGAATGTAATCAATGTAGAGGAGAGTTAAGTAGAAATCATCTACCTCACAGGCATTGGGTGGGTGGGAGGTGGGGTATATTGGGATTCTTGCTGGTGAAAAATGAGCACTGGTGAAGGGTGAAGGGAAAGGAGTTTGATCATTGCATGACCGAGACTTAAATCTGAAAGCTTTGTAACTTTTCCCACAGTGATTCAATAAATAAATATAAGAAGAAAAATAATAAATAAATAAAATTATGAAAAACAAAAAAAAGTGAGGTGGAGTTCAAGCCCAATTCAATCAGCTAATCAGTGGCTGAATAAATAGCAGTACTCCTACATTAAAAGCAAACAAACAAACAAACGAAAAACACTACTTGTTAGGCGAGTGCATCAGCAGCCTGATGGCACCTTCAGACTCCAGATACCCCAAAATTGTTGCTGTGCCTTTGGCCAGACCCCAAAAACTTGGGGCAAAGTTTACCAAGAAAGGAAACGGCCAAAAGTTAGGTATGTGGGAAACACACCCACAAGCCACCTCTGGCTCAGCTATATCATTGGAGGCATGGCCTCTCTGGTTCCTGATTGAACTGCTTAATGGCCATGATCGCAGAGACTTAGAAACAAATCTCGAAACCCAGTAGCTTTTGGCAGAAAGGCATCTTGTCCCTGCAGTGCTGGGCCCATGGTTTCATGCCTTGGCCTGTTCCCCCTGGCGGCCAGGTGGCCGCCATCCTCCAGAGGTCACTGGACAGTCAGGCTTGGGCCCTCAGTGACAAAACTTGTTGGGCCTCACAGGATGGGGGTGGAGCCAGTCCTGTCCTCCCCGTCCCAACGAGACCCCAAGTCATCGTCCATGAACGGCCTCTCTGACTCCTGATCAAGCTGCTTAATGACCAGGATGCCAGAGACTCAGGAGCAAATCTCGGAACCCAGCAGGTTTGGGAAGAAATCCCTCCAGATTGAAGTGTTCAAATTTGGAATTTCAAAATCGCGCGGCCACTACTGCAGCCACACAACATCATAGGTTATTCATAACCAGCAATAGAAAACAAAGTATCTACTGTTGCCTTTTCAGCAGATCTGAGTGTTGGGGTAAAATCTCAAACAATAATGGTGAGTCTGGTGTCAAAATACCGAATGTGATCAAAGTCGAGAGAGAATAATTTGGAAATCATCTGCCCCACACGTAGGGGGAGGGTGTGGGATGGGGGCATATTGGGGTTGTTGGTGGTGGAGAATGGGCACTGGTGAAGGCACGGGTGTCTCATTGTATGACCGAGACTTAGACCTGAAAGCTTTGTAACTGCTCTCACGGTGATTCAATAAATAAAATCATAAAAAATGAAAAAAAAAGTAAGGTGGAGTTCATGCACAATTCAATCAGCTAATCAGTGGCTGGATAAATAGCAGTACTCCTAAATAAAAAAAAAGAGAGAGAGAAATCCAGAAAAACACGGCAAATCTGTACTCCAAGCACACTCCTCTCCAAATGATCCATTTTCCCCCCACCCGAGATAAAGCTGACATGCTATGGGTCACATCCTCCTGCCACTGACCCCCAAAACCCGACGCTCCCTCCTCCCACCCCGGGGACTGATGGCACAAACTCCATCTTTGTGTCACGCCGTACATGAGACATTTGTCACTAGAACCTGATGACTCACTTCAGAACCTCAACAGAAGCCACAAAGATGGGGAGCACTGCTCAGTGAGCACCATGCAGAGGCTGCTCAGACCCTTTCTGCCTCTGTCCCCCACCTGCTCTGGGGAACGATGCATAGACAAGTGGCCAGGGCTTGAGAACAGAGGAACCAAGCCTGGAGGAAGCGGGTGCTTGTGTTTTGTTTTCTCTGGAGGCCTCTAACTACGGCTCCTCTTAAGAGACAAAGAAGGCCACAAATAGGCAAACACTCTGAACTCGGTTAGCACCTAACTCTGATCTACCGCCAAGATCTGCTCTAAATGAACCTTGAAAGGGTAAGCTAAATATCTCTCAGGGAAGCAAATAACCTTAGGGGATTATCTGCTCTGGTACTAAAAATGGGGGGAAAAAAAAGTCTGTTTTGTATTTCTTGAAAATGTCAGCTTGACTCAAAGCTGGGGTTTCCGAAGGCAGTTCTGTTTCATCCTGCAGCACAAATGCTTCCTCCCTGCTAGAGCTTTGGCTCACGTCTGTCCAGCGTCTTCTGGACAGGGAAACACCAGCCCTGGGAGGTGTGGCGTGATGGGACACTGGCACACAGGAAGCACCTCAATTTGGGTCACTTTCCCCTCTTAGGACTCCGAGGACCCCTTACCCCTCGGGCAGCACCGCATGACATTCTATCAGGAAGTTACATAAAAATCAGTCTTCCGTTCCAAACAAAATTTCAGGAGCTGCAGACACAGTTCAAGACTATATACAGCCTGAAGGCACAGGACATATGCAAACGGCATCTATTCACTGTCATCAGTGAGCCCCGTCACCCGCCTCATGCTGGCATTCAACTTCAAAATATCCAGATAGAGGAAATTTTTATGTGTCAGGGGGAAAAATCAGAGTTAGCAAGAGCTCGAAGAGAAGAGCAAGCCGGCAAACAGGACTGAGAGAAGGTGACCGGAGGTGAGGCTGGTCTCTGGCCTAACCCGGGTCCCAGCCCCAGCTGCCCTGCAGAACCCGCCAGGGGACACCGCACATGCCTCGGAAAACTCACGGACACCCCACATGACATGGAATCCCCCCAACGCTCACAGCCGCTCAGTACTGACTCACACCCGCCCTTCCATGCAAAAGACCTGAAGGAACAAGGATCCCCAGGTCGAAGCTTCTAGTGTCGGGGCTGGAACGATAGTACAGCGGGGAGGGCATTTGCCTTGCATGCAGCCAACCTGGGTTCAAATCCTGGCATCCCATATGGTCCCCTGAGCACCGCCAGGAGTAAATCCTGACTGCACAGCCAGGAGTAACACCCGTGCCTCTCCGGGTGCAAAAATTAACAATAAAAAGATAACACCGTGGAGGTGTGCAGACTGGGGGCGGGGTGCAGAGGGAGACCTCCCAGAGAGCCTGGCCCAGAGTGAGCATAACATCCCCAAAGACCCCGTAGGATGGCTCCGCCAGGTCTGGGGTGCAGCCTCACACTTGAGTCTAAGCCACCCTGGTCAGGATGTCCAAAGAGTCCTCAGAAAAGAACCGGAAACTCTGCATTGGAGCAGACCACAGAGGCTGATGCAGGGGAAGGAAAGCATTAGGGGGCCTCTTTCTAACTGCTCAGGGGCCCAGGTGACTGTTCAGAGCGGGAACTGTGTCTGCCTGCGGACAGCTAAGCCGGCTCCTGCCCGGCCCTGCCCAGCCCCGAGCACCCAAACAAAACATTCATGTTTAAAAACGGCATATTACTACAGAGACACCTCTAACAACTCCCACCCGGCGAGGCTCAAGGGATAGGCTCTGCACTCAGGAATTATTCTGGTGGTTCTTTGGGAGCCCCCCAGCGCCTTGAGCCTAATCTAACTGCTCACATGACACACGCCAGGGTGCCCAAGTTCTGGGGTCCCTCGAGCAGAATACCCGGAGTGAGGGCCACTGCGAGCAGCTCAGGCGAGCAGAGCCGTGGCTACCCCTGCCGGGATGCTGACTTGGGGGCCTTTGTGGCTCAGGGCGGGAGAGAAGATGTGAATGCAGCATCCACGGGGGGATGTGGGGCCCTTGGTTCCGACCTGTGTTGGGTCTGCCTGTTGGGATGGCCCCACCCCGCCCGCACAGGGCCAGGAACGACACTGGGTGTGACCGAGACAGCCCCTACCCTCAGCTGGGGTGACCAAGCCGCTTCCTCAAAGCTTCCGCACTGCTGACTGGGAACAGAAGGAGCAGAGAGGCCTCTCCCAGACATGCAATGACTCGCGTGGAAGGTGAACCCCAAGTCCTGTCACCACACAGGGTCGGGCAGACCCCTGTCCTATCACCACACAAGGGCATGCAAGCCCTTCCCTGCTCCAAGACTGGGGTGGGGAGAGACCATCGGGGGAGCCCAGGAAAGTTCTGGATTCCACAGGCCGAAGCCCAGGGACGTGAGCAAACCCATGGGGAGCTGGTTGACAGCAGCCCAGAAACCAAGAGAGCCCCAAGTTCTTTCTCTTAAGGTGCTGCTGAGACCAACATGCTGAGGGAAAGGGGGCCTGGAAATCTGGTGATGCACCTGCGTTCTCGAAAGGTCAAGTCTTGAGACCAGCAGCAGCAGTACCACAAATCAACTCACACGCCCAAGAACGCAGGGAAATGCGATCGTGTCTCAAACATACCTGCACAAGCTTCCAATGGCAGAGGGCGCAGAGGGTGCAGACAGGCACCAGGAGCGCTGGGGCCATGCACGAGTTCAAGCTGACTCCTTGGCTTGGCACTGGGGGTCACACCAGGCGGGGCTTGGAGGACCATATGGGGTGCCAGGGAACGAACCTGGGTCTGCCAGGGGCAAGGCAAGTGCCCTACCCACCTTACTATCTCTCTGGCCCTGGTACGCCGTTTTTAGAGGACATTATCAAGCTGATGTGTTTCCCCCTTGCATCTTCCCCTTCATTCCGGTATTTATTTTCCCTTTCCCTCCCTTTCTCGCTGAGGCTGAGGGTCGCACACTCTAGGTGGTGGTTACCCACTTTGGGGGGAGAGGTTTCCACTCAGCCTGCCAGAGCTCCAGCCATGCCCACTTTTCCCTATTTCCAGTGAAAAGTACGTCATAGGAAAGGCATCTGGTTGAAAACTCACATAAATCAATGCTTTTGGGTCCAGAGATTGTCTTAAGGGACTAAGCATGGAGAAACCTCACCCCACAGAAGAAAGAGCCAGAGTTCTGGCCCGGGCGCCCCTAAGAGCCAAGCTGACACTTTCAAAGAGAAATATTTCAGAAGTGCTCCCTGTCATAAAGATAGTACACAAAACATATAAAATCATATTTGCAAACAAAAAACCACCTTTCAGAAAAAGACAACATTTAAAAAAGAAAAACTCTGGGGGGCCAGATAGACAGTTCAGTGCGAAGGTGCTTCCCTGATATCAAAGAGTCAAATATGGACCCCTGAGGACACCCAAGAGTAATCCCTGAGCATCACCAGGTGAGGCCCCAAGCAAAAACCAAAGCAAAACAAATAAATATGTGCTGAAAATAACCAGTAGGAAAGAGGCTGGGATGGGCGTGTGGGAGAAACAGAATTTCCCGCACACCCTGCACTCGGCCCTGAGGTCACACTGCAGAACCTCAAGAGTTTGAATGAAAAATATAGGCAATTGTATTTCTAGAAAATGAGAATGTAAGATTAGAGTCTTCAGGTCTTGCCAAGACTCAATCAAGGGGAAAGGCGGGTCATGAAAACAAAATCACTCACAAACCTACGTTCCTTCTGCAGGCCCGTGGGCAGCGGCTGCGCTCCTCGAAGTGGGGGCCCGGGAGAATGCGCAGAACTTCCTCGATTCTGCGCCAACCAGGCCGGGAGAGCAGCTGGGCCAGCCGCATGCTGAGGGGGGCATAGCCGAGATGTCCGTGGGGTTCTGCGGAGGATTCGAGAGGAACACCCGGAGTCAAGCAACTCCTCTCTGCCTAATGGGCCATGGGATCTTTTTTTTTTTTTTTTGGCGGAGGCCATACCCTGCGGTGCTCAGGGCTCCCTCCTGGTGCTGCACTCAGGGATCACAACCTGGGTTGGCCGCATTAAAGGCAAATGTCCTCCACGCTGCCGTCCTGGATTTGACTTTGGGGAGGAACACAGTGTGCTCCAGCCTACCCCACTGAGCCCTGCCATCTCCACCCTCTACCCAATTCCCAATCTCTCTCTTCTCTCCTTCTCTCTCTCTCTCCCCCCACCCCGCCCCTACAGCTTTATGCATCAGACCTGGTGGTGCAGAACTGACGCATGGCTCTGCCCTCACCTCTCCTGGCCTTGAGTCCTTCTGTCTCAAACCAATCTCAGAAAGCTGCTTGGTGCCCCTGTGTGCTGGAAGGTGCCAGTGCCCGGCAGCCCGTGCAGAGGGCAGGGGCGTGGCCAAACCCCAGCACCGCTGGGTCTGAACATTCAACGGTCTGCCCGGGAAAGATTCCATCCAACCCCCACAGAAGAAAAACTGTTCATCGATTTGGTGAGAAACTTCTCCTATGGAAACTTGGCCCACTGGGGGGAGGGAATGTGGAGAGCTCTAAGCCCAGCCAAGCTACTCTCAGGCATTCTTCCAGGGGCCGAGGCCCCAGGGCACAGCCACGCCCAAATCTCCCAAGGGTGATAGTGACAGCCCCTAGCATCACAGTGACCCCCAGTCTGAAACCCCCCTCTCTCACAGTGACTCTGAGTCCAGCAGCCCCAACTGCCCACGGTGAGTCAGTTGTGTTGGTCCCCAATCCTCTTACTTGAGGCTGGCCTTTTCGCTGACCAGAGGCTTCCTTGAGCCCAGACCAGCCTCCCCCGCCCTGAGGCCTAAGTGGACAAGGGCCCCCGCTTCCCACCCCCAGCCCCCATCTTCAAAAAGTGTCCCCCAACAAGCCCCACTCAGTCCTGGCTTCTGCAAGGGCAGCGCCTTCCCACCAGCAAGATGCCACACCACTGGGGAAATGTGTGTGTATGTCTATGTACGTGTCTGTGTGTGTGTTGGCGCGCGTGCATGTGCGTGAAGCCTCGGCTCGCCTATTAGATGGTGTGCACGTGACTGCGTGTGCACGAAGACTCGGCTCACCTGCTCATTCACATCGTCCATCCAGAGGCGCAGGGTCTTCCAGATGGTGGGGTAGCTGTTCCTGCCCCCCTGCTGGGGCCGCAGCAGCCCGGCCTTCTCCAGGTTCTGTAACGTCAGGATGTGCTCGTAGCCGTATGTCTGCAAGAGAAGTTGGGGAGCCTGCTAGATCTCCCACTTCCGAAGAGGGAGCGAACATTTTCACTCTCATTTTGATACTACTGTTTTGAGTCATACCTGGCAGCATGCAAGACAAGTGCCTTACCCCTTTCTAGCTCTTGGTTTGTTTTTGTTTTCTTTTTCTTTTCGGGTCACACCCGGCGATGCTCAGGGGTTACTCCTGGCTTTGCACTCAGGAATCACTCCTGGAGGTGCTCGGGAAACCATATGGGATGCTGGGAATTGAACCAGGGTCGGCTGCGTGCAAGGCAAACGCCCTACCCGCTGTGTTATTGCTCCAGCCCCTTTCGAGCTCTTTGGACCCCACATTTTCACTTTAAAGCCAGAATGCATGGGCCCAATGTAAGGAAGATAGATGACAGTGTACTCAAATAACTGAGTAGGAAAAGGAGGCCAACCACACCTCCTGCCGTGCTATTTTCCAGATGTCTCCTTTGTTTTGTTTGCTTTTGCCCCCCCCACTTCCTGTGCTCAGGGATCAGTGCTGGTGGGGCTCAGGGGACCCACATGGGTGCCGGGGATCGAGCCTAGTTGGGCCACGTGCAAGGCCAACTGCCTTTTAAAAAAATTTCTCCCTTGGCAAATTAGTCACTTAGAAACACTGACCTAGAGAATTTCTCTTTTTTGTAATAATCCAGAACCTTCTGCTTGACCCCACTGTTGCACACCGACTGCAGGCAAATGAGCCTGAGCACCTTGATGAGTGGATGCTTCTGGGCGATGCAGTCCTCCATGTAACTGTTGACCTTGAGTCGTGGCAGATTCATGCGTGAGAGCTGGGTCTGGGCCTGCAGGCCTGGGCGTTCCCGGGACCCTGAGAGGCCCAATCAAGGAGAGGCTGGAGACTGGCTCACGCTCCTGCCCACACTCCCTGGACAACCTAAGCTCCAGGGGCTGCAGGCGGGTGCAACTGTCCCACTTGTCAGTGACACCTCAGCAGCATCAGTAAAGTAGCAGGGACTGTGGGGAATTTGGGTGCTTGCTTGCTGCAAGTGAGAATGTGGGATTTATTGATGGGCAGACAGGAAAAGCGATCATATAACCCACGCTCTTATATTATCCGTGATGGGCTTCAATAGTCTTGGGCTTCAGGGCTGGGTCTTGTTTCTCTGAGGACAGCGAACAGCAATGGAACACATGCACACACACATGCAATGGAACACACACACACACACACACACACACACACACACACACACACCACCCCCGGTCAACAGAAACCTATCCCTTGGCAGAATCTCTTTCCGCACATTTTGCACTGCCCTGGCAGGTATTTAGGGCAGACATGGAAATCAAAGTGATTCCTTTCCTACCTCGAGTTCTGTTTGCCAATCTGGTTAACTATCGGCTAAAACGGTTTTATTGTTCACGTACCTTATCGGTGTCTATTCCGGACAAAAACTCCTGCTCCACGGTTAACTGATCAAAGAAGTCTTCAGACGCTGAAACATAATTAACGCACGAGCATTTCAGAAGTGGGAGAAATGCTCATTTATCCCAGAGGCATGCAAAGTAGCAAGCAAGCACCAAGTTTAAGTCATCACCGGGAAGGCACCTTCCAGAACAGTGAGGCTGACAGCCTGTGCCCCGAGGTGCGCCTAGACACAGAGCCCCGGGGCCTGGGCCCTAGCAGCTCCCCCTTCACACTAATCAAAGCAATTTCCCAAGGGCATTTTACTTTGGTTCGTTTGAGGGCCACCCCCGGTGGTGCTCAGGGATCACTCCTGGCAGGCTTTGGAGACCATATGGGACTCTGGGATCCAACCTGGGCCGGCTGTGTGCCAGGCACTGCAGTACCGCTGCAACTCCTGCTCCTTGCAACATCCGACTGAAACCAACCTCAGCAAGTAGTTCCAGGTCTGGCGAAGCAGTGCTGGCGCCACCTGGAGCCTGGGAGAGCCCTGCTGCACCAACTGACCCCGCAGAACCCAACAGTCACACTCGGAACATTTCTGCGAGGACACAGCGGCTAGCACAGGGAACAATGCACAAGTGAAACAGTAGCCGGGGCCCCCAGAAGTAGCAGGGAGCCAGTGACACACCCTGAGCCTGAGCCCGGGACAGGGCACTCACTCGTCACGTCCTGGATGAGCTCGGCGATGGAGGTGTGATTGGCCAGGGAGCCCTGGGCCGCCTGCATGTGGGGTAGCTGGGAGACGAACTGCTTGATCTCGCCCACCGTCTTGGCATTGTGCCTTTCCTGAGGGAGGGGAGAAGGTTACGACAGTACTGGGGACAGCACTCAGGGCCACACACACACACACACACAAACAAACACACACAGGGCGTGCCCCAGTCACAGCCACAGCAGTGCTGGGAAGGTACCCAAGGCCACACACACACACACACACACACACACACACTGTGCCTCAGCCCCAGCCCTGGCTGCCAAGAGTGCATTTCTAAGAGTTTAGGTCTTTGGGTTGCCCAGGGCACGTTTGAATCACATGCAAGGCAGTGCCCCGGGCTTCCACCTGGCCTGGAGCTCAAGGATCACTCCTGGCCTGCACCGGGACCACATGGAATGCTGGGGAGTGAACCCAGGTCAGCTGTATGCAAGGTAAGCGCCTGGCCCGTCGTGCTATCCCTCCGGCTCCCCCAAATTAATTTTTAGTGTGAGAAACTGACACAAAATGAATTAGGCTATAACCAGATCCCACAGCCACACGAAAATAGAAAAGGCAGGTTGGTGGGTCCAGGCACTCCGACAGCCACTTCCTGCAGCACTGGGAGACCATGTGGACAGGGAGGGAGCCCAGGTCCCACGCAGGCCACACCTGACACTGCATGGTCCCTGCCAGGGATGTGGAGCTCAGCAAACTGCCTTGAAGCCACAAAATCTAACGCTCGAATAGCCTGAGACCTCAACAACAGCAAATCAAGTGTAAAACGTTTCCTGGGTCCAAGCTATACAGTGGGGGAGGCGCTTGCTCAGTGCCCGGCCTCCCCACAGAACCCCAAGGCCTGCCAGGAGCCAGCCCTGAGCACTGGCAGCAGGAAGGGAGGGAACTGGACATCACGGCGAGCTCGGAGCTGGCACAGTGAATGCCCGACACTTCTTATCCATAGCTTTATAAGTCACGGTGAGGAAATAAAAAAATTGAGGAACAAAACCCAAGTGAGACAAAAGCAACTTCAGAAATACAACAACCATGGGGTCAGAGTGACAGAACAGTGGCGAGGTGCTTGCCTTGCATGCGACCAGCCTGGTTTCGATCCCCAGCATCCCATGGGGTTGCCTCAGCCCACCAGAAGTGATCCCTGAGCGCAGAGCCAGGATTTAGCCCTGAGCACCTCTGGGTGTGCCTCCCCTAAACAACAACAACAACAACAACAACAACAACAACAAAAAACCCCAAAGAAATACAAATACTGATACAGTAGAGATAACTCCTAAAAAAGATGAAATCAGGAAATCCTCCTTCAAGGGAAAAAGTGATTTTTAAAAACTTCCCCAGAGTTAAAAAATTCAGCTTCTATCATTTTACTGATTCAGGTTTCAAAAGTGAGCTGAACCCAGAATAAAGAGCAGCAGGAGGGCGCAAGGTGCTAAGGAAGCTGGGGGCCGGGGACTGTGCTCTCAGTATCATCCACTGTCCCAGCCTGCTCGGGCTGATCCCGGATTCCCTAGATGCAGGAGCTAGCGGAGATGCCGCCACCGCCAGTGGCTGGGAGGAAGGAGAGAGGGACAGGGAGTGCGGACGGTGACTGGCAAAGGACCTGATACCAGGAAAGGGCCTGGCACCACCTTTCCCCAGGCGCCCGCAGCCCGCCTGCCACCTGGCCCCAGGCCCCAGTCACCTCAAAGGCGGCCGAGATGACCTTGGCCTTCTTGCTGAGCACGGCGCCCACGGCGTTGAAGTTGCAGTCTCGGATCTCAGCGTGGAGCTCCTCGGCTGAGTTCAGCGGCAGCTTCTTGGCCTCTGTGGGCAGGTCCTGCCCGTCACCCTGCCTCTTTGGGGCGAATTTCTCGGGCGGCAGCTTTACATGACCTGCACGGGAGGGGACACCCCAAGTGAGACTCCAGAGACTTCCTTTCAGGGGAGAGCACTGGGCTTTGAGTCACTAGCTGCGCACAAGCGCAGGACGCTCACGCTTTTCACGCACGGGTTCCCTGGCCTGGCCCATGGGCCGCCTTCTGCCACTGCCAGCCCGAACCGAACTCAGGATGGGGCCACCCGAGGAAACATGCCCCAGGGCGGCCCAATGTCTGTCCTGCTGGCGTGTGCAAGTGCATGCAGTCTACACCGACATCTCAACAAGCCAAGAGGAGCCCAGGATGGGGCTGGAGTGATAGCACAGCAGGGAGGGTGTTTGCCTTGCACTGGGAAGACCCTGGTTCGAGTCCCAGCATCCCATATGGCCCCCTGAGCACCGCCAGGAGTAACTCCTGAGTGCAGCGCCAGGAGTAACCCCTGTGCATTGCCAAGTGTGACCCCTGTCACTGTCCTCCCATTGTTCATCGATTTTGCTCAAGCGGGCCCAGTAATGTCTCCATTTTGAGACTTGTTACTGTGTTTGGCATATCGAACACGTCATGGGCTTTGCCGTGTGGGCAAGATACTCTTCGAAAAAGGAAAAGAAAAACAAGATCCCAGGAATCACCTCAGCATGGAAGTGTGCATGAGGGCGGGAGACAGCTCCGAAGGCTTCTTTCCTTTCTTTTTCCTTTCTCTGATATTTGGGCCACACCTGTCAGTGCTCAAGGCTTATTCCTGGCTCTGTGCTCTGGGCTTATTCTTGGCAGTGACTGGGGGAACCACATGCGGTCCTGGGGACCAAACTCACCCTAATTGCTGCACTGCCTCTAGCTCCAAGTTGGTTCCTTTTAAAAAAACATCTCCTCCAGTTTCAACACAAATCCCGACGTGTCTACACACCATCAGCTCCCCTGCTGTGGGTCCAGAGAGACGGGTCATCGGGGGCAGCTCACGCTCAAGTCCAGCTGTCTTCCTCTGAGCACTGCCCCGTGTGGGCCCTGAGCACTGTGGGGTGGGTGCTGAGAATCATAAAGCAACAACAAGAACTCCTGCACTGGAAAATGTGGGGAGAGAAAGGGACCGACGGAAGAAAAACACTTCTCGTATGCTTTCCAAATCCTAAGCCGCTCCGAACAGCCCGGGCACCAGCGTCTGGAGACAGCACGCCACGGTGGCCGTGGGACCCGGGGCCTGAGCACATGCTGAGATACACGAGGTCGGCAAGACCTCGCATTCCAGCTCAAAGCAGAGGGGCAGCCGCTGGCCCAGGCAGCCTGCACGCAGCTCCTGCACGGGCCTGCCATTGCCCTCGGTCCAGCCACGGGCACAGAGCTGGGGGGTTATGGGGAAGCCCAATTTCCCCTTGTTTTTCAGATTTCTCTTAACGGTTTCTTTTGGTGGGGGGGGGTTACACCCAGCGATGCACAGGAATTACTCCTGGCTCTGCACTCAGGAATTACTCCTGGCGGTGCTCAGGGGACCATATGGGATGCTGGGAATAGAACCCGGGCTGAGCCGCGTGCAAGGCAAACACCCTACCCGCTGTGCTATCACTCCAGCCCTCTCCCTTAATTAAATGTTTGATCAGCAGGAAGTGTGTGATGTGAAGAGACTGTGAGTTTCCGAAACTCCTTCCTCCTGGAGGCACTCCTCGAGCCCCATCTCTCACACCTCCGCACCCCCAACCCCAGCACCTCTGCCAGATCCCCCAAGAGACTTGCAGAAGCACCAGGAGGTGGGGACCCCTTGCCGGGGTGCTCCTGTGCCAGTGACAGCTCGGAGCAGGAATCTGGGGAGGGGCTGTGTGTGTGGCATTACCCCCCAGCCGCTGCCAGGCACAGCCCCGGTGGCCCCAGGGCCATGGACTGGCCCCACAGAGCAGAAAATCACCGAGATCAGCCCCACAGTCCCTTGGGCACTGCTTATGAGTGTCCCCACAAAAGGAAACAACTTAAGAAGTTATCCTTCAGAACAACTGGTAAAAAACAAAACGGAAACACCTCCATAATTATTAAAGAGCAGGGAAACACTTTGTTGTGTGGAAATGCCTCCACGTGTGGTCCTGTTCTGCTTCCGTGGCTGCTGTCACTGAGCCATGCATTCACCACTGCAGTGACATACACACTAACACACATGAACACACACACACACACGCCATTGCAATTCACTCTGCGATAAGCAGCTTGGCACACTGGACAGACAGCACTGTCCGGACTCGGCCAGCACTCAGCAGCTGCAGGGCTCTGTGTCCCCAGAGAGACCCCATGCAGTTAGCTGCATCCCCGTCCTTTCAGACCGGGGCTCTATCCCCAGGACTGTTCCTGGCCAGGGCCACTCCTAAAAGCGCTGGAGTTACCCCTCTTGCGGCCTGGGGCTCCCTGTTCTGAAGAAAAGACACGAATCAGACTGTGGGAAACTTCTCAGACTGTATCCCAGCAGGAGCTGCTCCTGGCTCAGTGCTCACCGGACAAGGCAGGAGCGCAGATGGAACTGAGTGCTGGCTGTGCACCTGGCACTAGCCCCGTGAGCTTTCCTGGCCCCCACTCAGATCTGAAGTGCTACAGAATCTAACATCTGGGGCCAAACCCCCCTGACCTCGGACCCAGGCACCCCTCAGAAACACTCTATTCCTCACGCCTCCCTGGACGGCCTGAGCAGCGGGGCTGTACACCACATGGACCTCTGCACAAGGCCTTCGCCTCAGTTTCCCCGATGGTGTCCTGGCTCGAGCTCACTTTAACCTTGGGCTGAAAGTCAGTGCCTGACATTTTCAAGTATTCTGACTTACGCACAAAGGCCGCACCTTCGAAAACAGACACTTTTGAGATTGATTTTACTCAGCTAACCTATTAGTAACTGATGTCACTTCACTTACTGTTCTGAATGCCATAAATTTCATCGATGAGTCCCTCGTATGTCAGCTGAGTCGCAAGGGGCGTTAATAAATCCACATTTCGATCAAGCAACAAGAGGTTATCAAAAACAGGAAATATGGAATTCTGGCTTCCTGTAAACTCTCTCTTCATCCTGATCATCATATTGGCCACTTGCTGGAAACAAAGTACAGGAGCCTTTTTAGCAATGGGCGGATTTTAAAATGAAGCTAAAAAAGAGTCCAGCAATCCAAAATTTAAAAATAAGACGGAAAAAAATCGAACAATAAAATAAAACAAGACAGGCCTGAGACAGTATGGTGGGTAGGATGCTTGCCTTGCAGGTGGCTGACCCAGGTTCAACTCCTGGCACCACATACGATCCCTCAAACCCTGCCAGGAGTGAGCCCCGAGCACTGCTGGGTATGGAGAGGGTGGGAGGAGGGAGAGTGCGAGAGAGGGAGGGAGAGTAGGGATGGAAAAGAAAAGATAAAGAAGAGAAAAGAGAAAAGGAAAGAGGGCTGGGAGACAGCAGAGGGGCCAGGGGTCACGCCTTGCACGCAGACAGCCTCAGTTTGGTGGCCTGAGCACAGAGCCAAGAGCACTGCGAGGTGGAGCCCCAATCCACACCCGCAGGAGAGAGGCCCCCCTCCCCGCCCTGGCTCACCCTGGCGCACTCGCCCTTGCCGAAGATCTGGGGGATGGTCCCGTACAGGGCCTGCAGCGTCATCAGGCCCTTGGCTGCGTGGTACAGGCTCGTCTGGTCGCTGTCCAGGTAGCACTCCTGTGGGAGAGGGCCGGGCGCGTGGGCACAGGCTGCGAGTCAGCACTGAGGCTCCAAGGCAGCTGACTCTACTGGGGGCGAATATCGCTGGGCGGGCGAGGAAAGGCTGGCATCCGCATGCCCGCGTGACCACATGGCAGAATACTCTGGGCTTGCAGAAGGGCAGGCAGCCTCTCCCACATACAGCAGCGAGTGTCACAGGGGACAGGAGGAGGGCAGCCACGGTCTCAGAGAAGGGCCACAAGGTCCATTTAACACACAGACAAAAAGAAACATCTTTGGCCCAGAAAGAGGGAAGAGCACGCACGCGCCCACAGCCGGGCGGTTCAGCAGGTCTGACAGAGCACACACGGTCCCCAATGGGGCCTCAAGATCACTCCTGCGCCTGCGCCTCAATCCCTTCATCCAGCAAGTGCAGAGAGCAGAGGAGGGAAACCACGCAACGCACTTCACCTGCACTCCACCTGATGGGGCGGCACTGCTGGTGCCCATCGCGGGACTCTCTTTATTTTTTTTCTTTTTGGGTCACACCTGGCAATGCACAGGGGTTACTCCTGGCTCATGCACTCAGGGACTACTCCCAGTGGTGCTCAGGGGACCATATGGGATGCTGGAAATCGAACCCGGGTCGGCCGCATGCAAGGCAAACGCCCTACCCGCTGTGCTCTTGCTCCAGCCCCTCATCGTGGAATCTTTGACCCTGACTAAAGCAGCGGCCTGCAGGAGTGCACCCCAAAGGCGTGAGGACGAGGGGTGCAGACTGGGGGCGGGGTGCAGAGGGAGACCTCCCAGATAGCCTGGCCCAGAGTGAGCACAGTATCCCCAAAGGTCCCATAGGATGTCTCTGCCAAGTCTGGGGTGCAGCCTCACACTTCAGTCCAGAACACCCTGGTTGGGATGTCCAAAGAGTCCTCAGAAAAGAACCGGAAACTCTGCATTGGAGTAGACCACAGAGGATGATGCAGGGGAAGGAAAGCATTAGGGGGCCTCTTTCTAACTGCTCAGGGGCCCAGGTGACTGTTCAGAGCGGGAACTGTGTCTGCCTGCAGACAGCTAAGCCGGCTCCTGCCTGGCCCTGCCCAGCCCCGAGCACCCAAACAAAACATTCATGTTTAAAAACGGCGTATTACTACAGAGACACCTCTAACAACTCCCACCCGGTGAGGCTCAAGGGATAGGCTCTGCACTCAGGAATTATTCTGGTGGTGCTTTGGGGACCACATGGGATGCCGGGGATTGAACCTGGGTCAGCTGCGTGCAAGGCAAATGCCCTCCCAACGTATATTGCTCCAGCCCTTGTAATTCCTCTTTAAAAGCCCCTAGGTTCATATCTGGTGGTGTGTGGGTCCCTCCTGTCTTGAACCCGGGGCTGCCCAGGTGATGCTGGGGCTCTAGCCCTCTAAGCTATATCCCCACCACCCATAATTCCGTATTAAAAATTTTTTTTTGAAGTTAACCACAGGGGTCAATGGCACAGCGGGTAGGGCGTTTGCCTTGCACATGGCCTACCCGGGTTAGATTCCTCCGTCCTTCTCGGAAAGCCCGGCAAGCTACTGAGAGTATCCTGCCCGCACGGCAGAGCCTGGTAAGCTCCCTGTGGCATATTCAATGTGCCAAAAACAGTAACAACAAGTCTCAGAATAGAGACGTTACTGGTGCCCGTTCCAGCAAATCGATGAACAATGGGAGGACAGTGCTACAGTGCTAACAACAGACGCCAGATTGATAGTGACCAATGCCAGGCTACTAGAGTGCCAGGAGTACCCTCTGAGCATCGCCAGATGTGTCACTCACACACACACACACGTTAACAACACATGTCTACCCTGCATGCTCTGCTCTGCTGTAACTGGGAGTGGGGTGAACCTTTGCATTATCAGCCGAGTTCTACTCTTCTCAGTGGATTTCACAGGGCCGTTCAGCCCCCAGGGCCATTTGCGAGGGCCCAGCGCTTAAACCCACTGATACTACATACACACATTTTTACTTAGTCCCACCTCTATGAGCGGCGCCGGGAGCATTGGGGCTGGGCACGTTTTCAGGCTGACTCCCTGGCTTAGCACTGGGGGTCACACCAGGCGAGGCTTGGAGGACCATATAGGTTCCTGGGAACGAACCCGGGTCGGCCGGGGCAAGGCAAGTGCCCTACCCACCTTACTATCTCTCTGGCCCTGGTACACCATTTTTAGAGGACATTATCAAGCTGATGTGTTTCCCCCTTGCATCTTCCCCTTCATTCCGGTACTTTTTTTCCCTTTCCCTCCCTTTCTCGCTGAGGCTGAGGGTCGCACACTCTAGGTGCTGGTTACCCACTTGGGGGGGGGGTCTCACTCGACCTGCCAGAACTCCAACCATGCCCAAGTTTCCCTATTTACAGTGAATAATATGTCATAGGAAAAACATCTGGTTGAATGTGTAAACACACAAAAAATAAAAGGGCTGGCGGTCTATCTCTCCCACAGCCCATGTTCTGTGGTCTCAGGCTGTTTCCCCACTCCGGGGAGGTGGATGGCATTGGTCAGGCGAAGGAAGGAAACGGGGACCAGGCTGGTTGGTCTTAGCAGCAGTTTATTACAGGGAAGAGATATATGTCATGGAGGCCCCAGGATATCTCAAGCATGTGCTCCTTTGTTCTCTCAGCTTAGGTCCTCAGCCCCATCTTCCCAGGTTCTCTGATGCACATGTCCCCCCAGAGAGCCCTTAAATCTCCCTTATATAGATCACAGTACCTCTAAAGGGCGCAATATAGTGATGTCATCAAAAGGAGTTACAGAAAGAACATTGAGGCAGCAAACCATACATTGTTTCTTTACATCCACATTGTTTCAGGAATCCTGGCCTCACCTTTTACAAGCTACAAGCACTTGGATTAGCACAACAAAGACCAGTCCCTAGAGCTTGGAATCTACATCAGCCTGCCTGGAGCCAGGCATCTACATCCCAAAGATCAGGCCTGGCTTAGCACCTGGGATCTGCATACCTAAGGCCAGCTAGGTTCCTGTGAGCTAAGGGAAACTGCCTCAATATACTGAAATCATTTACTGAAGGCAGTTTGAAGGGGAGAAAGTTCAGTTTCATCCAAGCTAGTCAGGACACACAGGGAAACTGCTTCTAGGACGTGTTTCTCCTCTCCTTGCCCAACCAACATATAAGCATACATAATATTAATCATTTTGTATGGACACAGTAAGAAATACTTTGAGCTTATAGAATTGCTCTCCTAGGGCCATCTCGATCTCAGACTGCAGTGCTCAGGCCAGATATCTTTCCTATTCCTAGCAGCAGGGTCCTAGTCTCGTCGTTACATTTGGATCATGACAGCATTTGCCTATGATCAAACTCTTAACTTATAGTTAAGAACCGTGGCACCTTGGCCTGGCCCATCGCGATGCCAGGGTAGCACATAACTTACTGGCTTGCCCTGGTTCCATCCAGTCCCTCCTCGGGACCCTGCCCTTGGGGTACTAGGAAGTGAGGGCAACTGAGGCTTAAGTTGAGAAAGCAGATGCCCGGGAGCGAATAATATCCAAAGCCAATTAAATTCTAAGTTATAAAGCATAATATGAATTAATTGTCTTCCTGTATCTATACAAAAGGACACTGCATTAAAGTAAACTGCTCAAAAGACATAAGGAGAGGAGAAAGGCAATATTAACTTACAGTACAGCTTCAGTGTCTAAGAAGGACGAGACCTTACAAATTGGTTGGGGAAGAGAGCATAGAAGTGGTTACGGACAAAGTAATGGGAGAGACTCGGGAGCACTGTGATGGGTGCAACCTGATAAACCTAAGCTCCGTGTACTCCAACAGTTGAAAACTCACATAAATCAATGCTTTTGGGTCTACAGATTCTCTTAAGGGACTAAGCATGGAGAAATCTCACCCCACAGAAGAAAGAGCCAGAGTTCTGGCCCAGGCGCACCTAAGAGCCAAGCTGACACTTTTAAAGAGAATTTTTTCAGAAGTGCTCCCTGTCATAAAGATAGTACACAAAACATATAAAATCATATTTGCAAACAAAAATCCACTTTTCAGAAAAAGACAACATTTAAAAAAGAAAAACTCCGGGGGGCCAGATAGGTAGTTCAGTGCAAAGGTGCTTCCCTGGCATCAAAGAGTCAAATATGGACCCCTGAGGACACCCAAGAGTAATCCCTGAGCATCACCAGGTGAGGCCCCAAGCAAAACCCAAAGCAAAGCAAACAAATAAATATGTGCTGAAAATAACCAGTAGGAAACAGACTGGGACGGGCGTGTGGGAGAAACAGAATTTCCCGCACACCCTGCACCCAGCCCTGAGGTCACACTGCAGAATCTCAAGAGTTTGAATGAAAAATGTAGGCAATTGTATTTCTAGAAAATGAAAATGTAAGATAAGAGACTTCAGGTCTTGCCAAGACTCAATCAAGGAGAAAGGCGGGTCATGGAAACAAAATCACTCACAAATGACTAACTGGAAAAACGCAGTGACAGACTTGACTATTTCTGGCTGGAGCGGCCCTGCCTTCCACTCTCGAAGTTTGCTCCACAGGCAGTCAAGTCAGGGTGGGACCGGCACCAGGACAAACATCGACCAGCAGCAGAGAAACACCAGAAATAAACACATTTAAGGACAATTGATTTTTGAGAATTCAGTAAGGGCATTAACAATTTTAAGCGAATTCGTTGAAACAGGAGGGTCTCCATAAGCAAGAGGAGCAGCGGCCCGAGAGACAGCACAGGGGAAGGCGCTGGTCTTGCACGTAGCCAACCTGGGTTCTGTCCCTGGCACCACATATGTTCCCCGAGCATGGGCAGGAGTGATCCTTGAGCACAGAACCAGGAGTAAACCTTGAGCACTGCTGGGTGTGGCCCAACTCCCGTCTCTCCCCAAAAAGGAAGAAACTGGAGGCTTCCAGGAATCACTGAAATGCCTGTGTCAGTGTCACCATCACAAACGAGGCAGAAACGAGCGTCAAGTTCAAAGGGCAAACACTGAACTTACTCGGAAGGCACCCTCCGACTCCATGGAGAGAAGGTCCCCGTCGAAGGGAATGAGGTCCAGGCTGTACTCCTCCCTGTGGATGAAGGAGCCTGGGATGCCCCAGTCCTTCAGCCGCTGCTCACACAGCAGGCGACGCCGAGGCACAAACAAGATGTGAAAATCTCTTGTGGGGCCACATCTGTCTTCACTGCAAGAGAAGGACTGTGCGTTAGCCCGAGGCCCCAAGGCGAGGACTGCTCCCCAGGGCCCCACTTGTGCCTGACACACAGTGGGCCCTAAAGAGACGCTTATGAGCTACCCCCCACCACTGACTCGGCCCAAGATTCTAGTTTTCTTGCTCTCTTGATTTTGATGCTTTTTCTGGAAACCGCTGACCTGTGCTCTGCCAAGGGGCAGTGTTACTTTCTCTTGGGCCATTGGTGGGACATGAAAACTCTCAGGGTTGGGGCTGCAGCAACAGCAACGCGGGTAGGGCGTTTGCCTTGCATGCGGCCGACCCGGGTTGGATTCCTAGGTCCCAGCATCCCATATGGTCCCTTGAGCACCACCGGGGGTAATTCCTGAGTACAGACCCAGGAGTAACCCCTGTGCATTTCCATGTGTCACCCAAAAAGAGGGAAAAAAAAACCTCTCAGGGTTATAGCAACGGACATCTGTTTCTTGCAGAAAAAAATGTTTCTATTTAATCAAGCGATGTCTCTAGGAAAATAAAAGGTTGCTCCACACCGTGCCCGATTTTGCTCAAATACCCCGTATGCTTTTAAGTCCTTAGGGGCCGCGTCGATCAAACGTAATGCAGACTGGGCTGGTGCACTTCCTCCATAGATGCTGCAGCATTAAATTTTAATCAGCTTCTCCTGACTTTGCTTATGAAGTTTGAGCATATGGTATTCAGTACTTGAAAAAGAACCATTAGCTGTTTTTCTTTTTATAAAGAAATTTGGGTCCTTCTACTGAGACAGGCTGGAGCTTTCTTCTGTCCTGAGACAGGGGGTTTATGTGGTTTGCCCTGCCTCCCCAAGCCCCAATACACAAAGTTTCCCATTCTCTATTTATAGTTTTTGGGCCACCCCGGCAGGTGCTCAGGGATAACTCCTCGCTATGCACTCAGAAGTCACTCGCGGGAGGCTTGGGGACCGCACTGGGTTCCGAGGATCTATCCTTGGCTGACTGCAGAGTTTCCTGCTCCTGACCCCCCATTCTCCCCCGACACACTCTCACATCTGTCCAAAGATCCACTTCCCAAAGCGCTGGCAAGCAAAGGTGTCCTGATGAGCACTCAAACCACTAGAGGAATGATTCTGTATGGACCCAGCATCAGCTCTGAGATACCTAAGCACATTTTCAGCCATTATATCCATCAGTTCTAGCCGGGGTCTGACGAAAAAATTGATATTCTTAACATCGGCTGCTGGCAAGAGGCTTCCTTTGAGTGTGAACATTTTCTCCACCTCATGTTCCTAGGAAAGCACACATACAAATGGTGAACAGAACCCCTAAAACTTACCAGCCGACCCAAACTTGGGCATCACCGCAGGCAGCCAACCTGGGTTGGATTGCTGGCCTCCCACACCGTCCCCAAACACCACCAAGAGTCAATCGTGAGTGCAGAGCCAGGGGTAAGCCTGAGCACTGCCAGGGGTGGCCCAAACAAAACAGACCAACAACAAAAACTCAGGTGTTGTAACACTCCCACTCCAAAGCACAGTATACTTTAGTGTTGAGTCGGAGAGTGCAGGGGTTAAGGAACATGCCTGACACATGACTGCCAACTTCGCCCCCTGGCACCACAAGGCAGGAATCTTGACTTTCCTACGGCATGTGTTTGAGGGCTGGGCTGGGGTCTACACTTCACAGACAGGAGAGCTGGGTTGGTCCCCAGCACTGCATGGTCTCTGGAGGCGGGAATGACTGCAGAGCACTGCGTCCCCAAAGCAAAGCAAAACAAACTTATTTGATAACTGATCCCACCATAAGATTATTTTAAGAGTTCCTTGCTCTAAATCTAACACACACTTAGAAAATCTGATTTTGAATGTTTATTCAAAGTGAAGGGGTTTAAGGAAGATGTGCAGATTCTAATTTTTTGGGGGGTGGGGTTATACCGGGAGATCTCAGGGGTTCCTCCTGGTTCTGCACTCAGGAATTACTCCTGGCAGTGCTCAGGGGGACCATATGTGATGCCGAGGATCGAACCCAAGTTGCCCGTGTGCAAGGCAACTGCTCTCCACACTGGAATGTCGCTCCAGTCCCAGATCCCCATTCTTTGGTCAGGACTATCCAACTTGCCTGAGCCATGAGCTCTGAGGCAGGAGGAGAGGGCAGTTTCCTTGGCGTGTTCCTGACACAAGCCTGGAACATTGCACAATCCCCCGGCAGGCTGTCCATGACAGGGCATGTGTGGCGACCCCTACATGGACACGGCCAAACACACCCCGGCAGCTGCTCCTGCTGACCAGTCCTCACGGCTAATTCCCTTGGTCTCCTCTCAGCTCTGACTTCTACCGTGCAAGCCACAAGTGGCTAGAGGACATCGGGCCTCTTTACCGATGCCCGGGTCACAAATACATGGGCCCCTTTAAAGCCACACGCTTTAGAGTTGGTGTCCTGAGCAACAGCAGAGGGAGGAGAGCCGGAAGGGAGGTCTCCGGGGCCAGAAACCTTTCCCAAGGGATCACACTATCCAGATTCTTTCCTTACGACTTACATAATATCCAGATTCTTTCCTTACGACTTACATAAGAAATAAATCAGTCATGATGCAAACACCTTAAAGTGTTATTGGGCAACCTTTAAAAATGCAAATGACAAGAACCAAATATTAGAAATAGGAAGAGAAACACAAATACAGCCAGGAGAACTAAATTGGCATTAAAGTTCTTAGCTGTGGCTTGATCTTAAAGGGTGCGTGCTTGTGTGTGTGTGTGAATGTGTGTTGTGTGTGTTGTCCAGAGTATTTTGCGAAACAAATGCAAGACACAGAGGGACGAAGGCAGCCAAAAATTATATATACAACGACTTGGTTTACTAAAAAATATATATGAAATTTATTTATTATAACGTGGATAGACTTGCTTTAGTCTTACCATCAAAGACACAGAAAGAGAGAGAAGGAAGCAGGAGTGGGAGGGAAAAGAGAGGATGAGGTGAGCACGGCAGCGAGCGAGCGCGGAGACAGCCAGACATCAGCACCCACAGTGAGCTCAGGACCGCGGAGACTGCCTCCCGGCCCACAGAGTTCCTGACCAAAGGCCGCGCCTGACATTCTGGTTCTGGTATCCGTCCTTGGCCGTCAGGGAAGTGGGGGATGCAGAACAGGACTTCCCCCCACCGTCGTCTGCTCTGGGCTTTAGCAGTGGTCGGAGCAGGGCAGGACTGGCCCTGCCTTCTGCAGCTGGACCTGTTTTGAACCTGTCTGAAAACCTAACTTGGAGACAAGCTCCCAAGAGAAATGCTGACTTTCACAAAGTGCAGAGACACACGTTTGGCACACATTGCGTGCAGCTAAGCTGGAGATAACAACAGTCTGGGGAAAACCCGCAGCAAACCCAGGGGCTGGGTGAGTGCAGCCGACTTCCTCACTCAGAGGCAGCAGTTCTGCGCCTCCGTGTGGGAGCCCAGGATGGAGAGAGCCTCCGCCATCAGGACTGCACGCCACCAAGGCCCTTGGGGGCAGGCAGCGGTTTCTGCATGAACCCAGGGAAACTGGACCTAGACCCTTCCTGGGCTTTCAACCTGAGAGCAGAGCAAATTCCTTTTAGCTCTTTATCTACCATCACACTCAGACCTACATCTGAGTCCTTTACAATCTCTACCTGTCAATTAAGATCCTGGGATTAGCTACAATAGAGTCGTCTTCAGATTTCTAAATCAGACACAACTTGCCATGAATAAGGAGAAGAAACAGTTCAATATTTGAGACCACGTTTTAATTTTTTTACTCCCACACACAAAGAAAATAAAGTCATCATTTGTTCCTTAGATTCACTGAAAGTTTTTTTTCTTTGGGGTGGAAGGGTGCACACCTGGCCATGCTCAGGATTTACCCTGGCTCTGGGCTCACGGTATCACATGGGGTGCCAGGGATTGAACCCAGCTCAGCTTTGTACAAGACAAGATCATACCAGTTCTAGGACTTCCCTGGCCCCTGAAAGAGTGACTTTCCATGGATGGCTGCATAAACATTCCTGGGACATCGGGGTGTGGGTGGGGGGCGGGGAGCAGAGGCAATGAGACAGCAGAGGGAAATGGACAAGTGGTTAAATCGGTCATTTATTTTTTAAAATGTATGTATTTTTTTTTGCCGGGGGTCAAGCCCAGCGACGCACAGGGGTTACTCCTGGCTCTGCTCTAAGGAATTACTCCTGGTGCTGCTCAGGAGACCATATGGGATGCAGGGAATCAAACCCGGGTCAGCCGCGTGCAAGTCAAACACCCTACCCCGCTGTGCTACCGCTCCAGCACTAAGTTGCATGCCAAGATGAGTGTCTTAAAAATCAAAACCAAAATGAAACAAAAAACTTCTTCGCCTTCTGACGGACGGTTGCCTCCTCAAGCCAGGGCACCAGTCATGATTCTGGGGGGATGTGCGCAGTGGGGAGCGCAGGGGAGGATGGGACTCTGGTGTCTGTGTGCCCCCAACTTGGGAGCTGTCTCCTGCAAATAGCACCAGGGATGAACCGACCATTTGGGACCAGCTCTGGGGGGCTGGGAGGATGAGCGGATGGAAAGAGCCGAGACAGACGGCAACCATGGATGCGCAGCAGACCCCGACAACCGCCACTCAAGAGTACAGAGGAGGGGGTCTCCCTGCAACCAGAACTCACAGTGGGGTGGGGTGGCGGGTGCGCTGTGTCACAGGGAATTACAGCACAGTAGAATTCATGGGAAACGCATTTCCCTTCCTTGTGTCCTCCATCTTCAGCAGCCTGGCAGTGGGCTGGCCTTGGGGATACTCCTGGCTCCTTGCTGGGGGCTGGGTGGAGGGAGGGAACTCTGCCTCCTGCAAAGCCTGTGCTCCCTGAGGCCCCAGACTTCAGATCAAAGCTCAGATATGCTTAGGCCCATCTGCCTCTTTCTTTTCTTTTGTTTTGGGGCCACACCTGGTGATGTGAGGGGCTTACTCCTGGTGTTGTGCTCAAGGATCACTCCTGGCTAGGGGAGGATCCACCTGGGATGCCGGGGATGGACCCTGGGTTGGCCTCAAACAAGGCAAGTTCCCTGCCCGCTGTGCTATCCTGCAGCTCCCCTATTTGTCCATTTCATTCTGACTTTCGTTTGCATTTCTGCAGCAAGTTCAAATTCTGGGCTTCTCTGCTCCACCTCAGTTCAAGATGTTTTCCATCCTGTGGAACTATGTCTTTTTCTCCTGGTACTCTGGTTGAAGTTTTTGTTCTCCTGAGTCATAACAGTAAATGCAGAAAACGAATCTGTAACAAGATAGTTCTTTTTGTTTGGTGGCACATTTGGTGGTGTTCGGGGCTTACTCCTGGCTCTGTGCTCAGAGAGCACTCCTGGCGGTGCTTTGGGGACAATACGGAGTGCGGAAATCACACCTGAGTCAGACAAAAAGCAAGGCAAGAGCCTTCCCGCTATGATATCACTCCAGCCCTATAGAGTGATAAAAGTGAAAAACAACAACAACAACAATGTTTTTACATGCAAGGGAATATGTAGTTTTTAATTAAAATAACACTAGCACGTTACTCATTATTTTATTTTATTTTATTTTTGGCTTTTTGGGTCACACCCAGCGAAGCTCAGGGGTTACGCCTGGCTCTGCACTTAGGAACTACTCCTGTTGGTGCATGGGGGCCATATGGGATGCTGGGGATTAAATATGCAAACGCCCTAGCCGTTGTACGTTGTACTATCATTCCAGCCCCTAGCATGTCATTAAAAAAAAAGAAAGAAAAATTTGTGTACAGAAAAGTGGTTATTTTCTTCCCCTTCCAGATCTGGTCACTACAGAATTTTTGGTCGTCACTTTTCTGGTTGGTCATACGGTCTTCTTACTGAAGTAATAAGACTGCAGATTCTACTGCTGCCACTGGGTTCAAACATCTGTATTGCTAAATAATGTTTGACTTATAAATTTTTTTTGCTTCTGTTTATGGGTCCTACCTAGTTGTGCTCAGGGCTTACTCCTGCCAGTGCTTAGGGACCACATGGGACGCCGGGGATTGAGCCCAGGTCAGCCTCAGGCAAGGCTGGGCCCTCCCCACAGTGCCATGGGTTCTGCCCCACGTTTAGACTTTTATTCCCGTCCTAGGCATCCTTTGTGCTGACTCTTCTCTCCTCTGCTCTTCCAGTACAATTGTCCAAAGGCTTTGCTTGGCAGTGTTTTAGCACAGGGGCTGTTTCAAGAGCAGATGAATTTGTAGATTGCAATGCCAGACATCAAACCACGTGGGCCGGTGGGCGGGGTTATCGGTACTCACACCCCCATGGTCCA